CAAAAGTTTATGATATCTTTTCAAACCGTCATCCCCAAACTTCACATTCGATAAGCGGTCTACATTTTCACACTGGGATCCCCGACCTTGTTTAGGAAAAAGGACACTACTGATAAGTCGAAATCCGCCCGAGACCGTTTCCTTCCATGCAAAGTTAAGTCGCTCCTACAAAAACGCGATACACTGTACTTGGTGACTATGAAATATTATTGGCAATACAAAAAGTTGTCCAAACATTTTTTAAATATATTCCTAGGCGTTTGTTCAATCTCAGTTGCCCGTTTCTTTAATCGTAGACTCCTTTACCTTGCTACACTCTACTGCTACTCACAGATAAGGAACGACGTTCCCCCATTGATTTCCAGTGGTGACATCTTGTTCGTTGTTTCCGATTGACAAAACGATGTGAGACTTTGGATAATCTTGCTGTTCGATAAGCTTAGAAGGTAAACACGGTAACAGTTTCTATTTGAAGATCCTTTTTTCTGTTAGTACCACACCAATGTATATAAATGCATACCAGCGGACAGCCGAATTCAGATGCTGTTATTGTTACACAATGATCCTGGCATGAGACGGCACTGTCTCATCTGTCTCTTCAAACCGACCTCTTAACAAGTAATATTACATATTGTGACTAATCATCACATGTGCACATAATCTGTCGGGGCAAGCCGTGTGTTTTAACCTTATATTCAATAATAGCGATTAAATCATCGCATCCAATGTGGAATCGATTATAGAATGTAAACCTCTTAATCCCTTCACTAAACACGATATTGTACAACCCGGAATATGCACCTCCAGTACTATTTCAGTAATGCCTCTGACGATGTTATCACATTGTCATACTCTTTTGCCACTTGTAACCTATTCCTCGGGCTCGTTCGCGATTGGTTAACTTCATCCTGCGCATGTGAAAACTGTGATTTTGTTCTTATTTGCTTGTTTAACGATTATGACAAACCGCTGTCAGTTTTTAGTATGGTAATGATGCTTCAGAACAGAACTACAAGGAAAAACGTAAACAAAACTTTGCACGATGAGGCACGTTTTGGATCTACCTTATACAGACACACAGTAATACACAGTGCAAGATTAAGAGTTAGCTGAACTGAGATATACAACGATGACGATAAGCAATCCGGTGAACTACTTTTTTGTGGGAAACTGAAAATTCAGCATGCCCTCAAACAACTCTTGTTCTTCATAATCTATTAGTTTCCTTTTTCAATCCTGTTTTTAGTTCAGCATTTGGTGATCTGTCAACTATCGTAAAAATTGCGTTCTGTTCAATTGTATGATATGTGCACATAGGTCTGTCGCTGCTTTCATTGTGCGCTCTGCACCGTCCAAGTGCCACTATAGTGTATGTCTACCAACCTTGCTTTGGAGCCAATTGATCGGGATTCCAAAGTAGTAACTTACTTCTTTTATCTAAGCAGTTATGTCGCCGCAGATAAGTAGAAAGCTTTTACATGTCGTTCATGTTAAAACCAATCGTCTACCCGCGAATAAAAAATGAAATGCCCGACTCTACCGTCCGTTGCTGTGTCTAACCATTTACCTGCTCCTGTGGAACAACGTAGGTAGATCGTACTGTCAGGCCATTGTCCGAACGGATTCTTGAACATCCCTTGCGTGGCTGAACATCTGTACGATTAAGTCATTCACCAGTACGGTAGCTTCATACCTAACTAAAACGAAAATCACACTATGAGCTTGACCAATATATTTCGCTCCCGGTGTGAGGTTTGTGCTTGACTATCGATGCAGGCTCTCAGTCCGATGCCAGCCAAAGCCGAAACGGCAGCAATTCGTTTGTAGTTACACCCTCTGTATCCCAAAATACTTAGTGCAGCTATCTATGTTTCTTCTGGCCTGCCCCCACATATCGCGCATACCGTGTAATGACAATAATCCGATGAGTGAACGAACAGCTATATGATCATTATGAACCTCACACTTGGCATTATGGTGAAATCAATTCCATTCGACTATGATGTGAAGTATTCCTTCTGTGAGACAATGTTCTCCTCAAATGGTGACATATTTTTGGTGTATTCTCATTATTTCAAATGGGAATTTTCATGATAACATTGAGGAAACAAGTCAATGAGCGAAAAGTTGTTTCGGATATTCCTAGTCATGCTCTAACATATCATATCATGTCATACAATATAAAAATGCTTACAGAATGAGAGCCATTAGCACAATTTAAAGTCATTAATCGGACTCGGAGAGTGAACGATGTGTGTTTATCGTGTCAATGGATGTGGCCTTTCTCCACTTGGATCGAGTTCTGTTTTGGTTTTTCACACTAGACCAAAGTGATTGAAGCGCTTGAACCTGTCTCTTTTGGGCACATTAGGCGAGAATGGCCTTCGCCTCGACCATGGATAGTGTCCCAACTCGGACCGCCTTCGATCAATTGAGTATGATGCGACAAAACAAGATCTCAAACGTTCTCCGGTTCTACCTTGTGTCCGGTTTCTACGACGCGACCCACAATTGTGCTTGAGATGCAGTCAGTATTCCATTAATTTACCGATCGTGGATGGTGCTCCTTAACGTGTTAAGATAAACGCCTTACCGTACGACCTGTGTAACATGCGCTACAGATGCACTTGAACGAATAAATTAACGTGAATGAGGTCAGCTTCGTCACTTTGTCTTTTTCTTGCATTCTCATCACCGGTGATGTGGAGAACACCACTCTCAGGAATTTACAGACGTTCTCAGTGACCGAACTAGACCAGACTTTCGGTGTGTGTCCCCCAAAACAGAATCCGTATGTACATTTCTTCCTTGCGGATACCGGTGGATCTTGTTTTTCCGGAGAAAGTCGAATATTCTTGTCAATAAACGTTTCCTAGTGATCGTGGGTCACTTGGTAGACACCAGAAACCAGGCCTGTGTGCCCAAAAGATACTGGTTCAAGCGTTTCAATCACCTTGGCGTAGTGCGAAAACCAAAACAGAACATGGAGTGTTCCCCATCAAATGACACAGTAAACGTTCCTCCACACACACATCTACTCTTCGACTCCGATTGATGACCTTCAATTGAGCTGTCGTGGCTGTCATTTTGTACGCATTTTCCCACTATATGACGTGATATGATATTTTAGAGCATGACTAAAAATATCCAAAACAACTTTTCGCTCAACGGCTAGTTTTCTCAATGTAATCATGGGAATATTCAAACTTATTACCATGATTCCCCATCAGTGAAAACGAGCTTTTTTACCACTGTTCTGTTAGACTATTCATATAACTAAAACCGGTGATAGTTGAGCATCTGCCAAGTAGTGACGTCATATTTTTTCGATCAATGTTTTAAGGCATCTTAAACCCTTCCCAAAATAATGCTTCAATAGCCTTCAATACCCTTTATGTGTACTCACCAGGAAAGTTCGCTACACCTTCAATGATAAAAACCGTAAATTTTGTAACCTCGTAGTGTTGGTGGTGATTATTTTACTGAGCAACTCAAACGACGGTTATAGCTCTTCTGAAGGCATCACCTCATCAGTTGTCTTCACTCCGGATCGCAATTGTTGTTTCTCCAAAAAGCGTAAGGCCAGCTAATCTCTTCATCTAACTGATGAATAAATTTATGGTTAGTTGTCTTCGGTGTGTTTTTCTTAGTTCTTTTATTGCTGTAGATTTCTAAGCAGAAACCATGACAGTCATAAATAATAGTAATAATGTAATAATATTTTATTTTAAATACCTAATGTCGTAAAATCCCGCGATATATATATAAACTCTGCGTTACGCAATCATATACTGTTCAAATCTCGCGGTACAGTGAAGTCGTGAGGCACGGCTGTAATTCACTGTTTTGTCACGTGCAGCATTTCTCTTCTTCCGATCAGTCGTGAGTTAACAGTGAAGTACATGCCTAATGACTGGATAAACTGAAACTGGTGTAATAATATTTTGCCCACTGGACAAATACAGTGCGTACTTCGCAACTAATAGTAACGTTTACACTCTGGTGTTTTAGCTACCGTATGTATGGACATGAAACGTACTTTTACTTCTATCTTAAAGTAAATGAAACCGAACAGGCCTCTTCGCATCGTCCTCCGGCCTTGTTGAATTATTTAACCAGGAATTCAGAATCGGTTTTCTCTCGTAAAGTCTACTTGTGCTGTTGGGCGTCGCATCTTGTAACACGGGTTCATTGTAAAAGCCATACTTTTTCTTTTGTCTCTCTTCCAGTTGAACTCCGTTCAACCGGAAGATACTTCGTTGGAACCTGCTCAATCCACCACGGATTCTGTTGTTTCCTTGCTCTGTCAGCATCCGGGACGGCGGTATGCGGAAACGGATGATTGGGAACAGCTTGTAGACGGATTCAAAAAGTACTGTTGTTCTTTCATTTTTCTGTCACACAATCTTATTCGACACATTTGCATTTATGTTGGTAGTCGGTGTGTTTTCGTCCTAACAGAGATGTGCACCTCGGTATAATAAGCCGTTAACTAAATTCCTCCACTATTTTTTAATATTAATCAGCAATCCTAAACTCACGGACATGCGTTATACTGACCTTTTTCAGCCATCCGTCTAAGCTATTGAGATAATGTTTGTATAGTATTCTCGGTGTTCGCATTCCATTAAGCAACTATCACAGAGCTACTGAATCAGAGACCATGAATCGTTCGTGGCAAAGGCATCTTAGCAACCTTGTGCAAACTCTTATCATTGTTGGTAGGACCTTCCGCCACGAAGAGACTGCACCTTGACGTGGTGTGATTGCTTATGCACTTCTGTGACCGGATGAGCTACACAGAATGGCGTTTATCAAACCAGGCGATCTTATCATGCCTCGAAGGACGGGTGAAGTTCATTCTCCTGTCCTTCGTCTTGGGAATTCGACTCGAGTTAGCGTCTCAGTGAGTAAAATGGTGAAGCAGTAATGGATCCAAATAAATGTTCCTTCACTTCGCTTTATCCGCTACCTTGTTAGAATTACAAGCCTTCAAAGAGAGCCCCAATCGTTCTCCTGCTTAGTGGCTGGATACCTTAGCAATACCCCCTCTACCCCAATGCATACACAAACTAAAAAATCATTCCATACTGCATCGGTCGTCGCGCAGGATAATCAGGACCGCGCCGACCATTGCATCCAGCGGGTTGGGTAATGATAAGTAGGATACTGCCCAGACATTCCAACCTTTGTTTAACTCTTTCTGTTCTATACCCATCCCTCTTTTTATGCTCCTTCTTCCGACCTGTGACATCCCCCAGACGACTTGCCCCTAACTCACCAGAGTTGACTACCAAGTAGCGTTGTGAGTAGCTTACCACAAAACAGATTGCAGATTATGAAGCCTGGTCAATCAATGAATCTGGGGACCTTCAATGTGAGGACTCTGATGCAGGAGGAGCGTACAATTCACCGTTGGGGGATTGATTTCTGCACATCAGGTGATGCCGAAGTCCGTTCAGTAGGCCAGTGTACCGTCGGCATTGTACTCAATAATAAAGCCGAAGCGCCAATAATCGATTGGATCTCAATAAACAGTCGCTTGTGTGCGATTCGGCTCGAACATCTACCAGCGTCCGTGAGCGAAGCAACACCAAAAGGTGTTTGTTCATTATCTCAGTGTATGCACCGACCAATTGCATTTCTGATACACAAAAGGACGATTTCCAAAGTAAACTCACCGAACTCATTTCACTGAGTCGAAGCTCTGACACAATTGTACTTGCAGGTAACTTTAACGCGCAGGTTGGAAATTTGAGTGCATCGAAAGCTTGCCTAGGCGGTAGTTGTGCTCTGCCCTGTCAGCGAACAGATAACGGCGACCGACTTTGGTTCTGCGCAAATCATCATCTGTTCCTACCCAGTAACAACTTCCGACACAGCGCATCTGTGTGTAGTGGGATCAGATTAGGTGGGCAATCCATTCCGCGGCAAAGGTTTCTCGTGGGTCTGAGCTTCAAGCCCGCCCGAGGCACTGGACATCTCATGAGTCAGCAGCACTGAGGTCAATGCA